GATCTTAAAGGTCTTTTCCAACCTAAACGATTCTGTGATTCTATGATCTTCCTCTGCCCTTCCAGTTGGGGCCATTGTTACATGTTTGCCTACACACATTTATGCTTTTCTTTTTCATTGGTGTGTAGCTGCAGATTAAATCCAAACTTACTGTTTATGGTGCTCTTCATGTATGTTAAATACTATTTTTGTTGTCCCTAAACTGAGTTTTATCCAGCTCTGGATTTGCGTATTTTTAACTGATTATTTCTGAGTTATTTATAGCTGTGGGTTCTTCAGTGCCAAGCTTGTGCCCTGCTTCTTATCACTCCATGCCTGCCCTCCTCTGTGCTGCATTCTGGGTTTCTACTTCTCAAGGCTGTCATACCAGGCCTGCATTTCTCTACATCACATTTCTGTGTTAAAGTCCTAAATATCTCATTCTGCCTAGAACAACTGCTTGTTACTGCTGTCTGTGTAAAACTTATAGTCGTACCACACAAAGATAAAGACAAATAAAACTAATTAGATATGGACATTTGGTCAATTAGAGAAACTGCTGTCACAGATAAACTAAGTAAAGGCAACAAGGATTTTGGGGAGGATCAAAAATTCAAGATTAAGTATAAGAGCTAATGGAATGCCAGGGGAAAGAGAAAATCAGATTGTAGTAGTTTTTACATTTATATATGGCATAAAAAGTTATATTCCTGGCTGTTGTTGTTTTTGTTTATAAATTTTGAACCAGCTGAAGTCCTATATCCTTCTGAAAAGATGGTCAATGCCACTATGGCTTTATTTCTGCTTGATACAGGTATCACAGATTGTAACTCATTCCTTGCAGTGTCTGGGTGCTAGCAGAGGAGACGTGTACAGGTTGTCTGACTTCCCATAAGTAGTTTTGCTATTGCATACTGGGCAGGTGAACCAAAGCAAAGAATTGACTACGCAGTCAGATACCTTTTTGGGTGTAAAGCTCCTTCAGTTCCTAGTGCCTGGTGTCGGGGGAAGTGGGGAAGAAGAGGAGAAAGCCAAACTAAATATTAAATTGAGTTGAAAATATTTTAATGCTTGGTAGAGTTGAGTTTCTTACTTTGTTTCTGATAATTTTAGAAAGTGTTTTCCCTATTTTTTTAATAGAAACTACCAGCCTTTTTATAATATCTTTTGGGATCTTCAAAATTTCTGGTTTCAGAAAAATTTCAAAATAATGCTGTTGTATTAGATAATGACTTAAATATAATTCTTCTAAGATGACATGATTTCTAAATAGTATTTCCAAATTATTCATCTAATGCAGAACACTTAACTATTGAAGACACTAATCCATGTTAATACTGAAATCATGACACACAGAAAGGCAAATTAAAGTCTGAGCCTCTCCCTTTAAACTTGCACTATACTGGAGAAATGTATAACTACATGAAGGAGTTTGAGCCTGTGTTATTTTTATATGACATTTCTTTGTTTTCTTTTTGTCAAAAAAACAGAAATAATTTAAAAAGTAGATCTTTGTCTATAAATTTCAGGGCAGGAATGTATAGTGGAATTTTATGATTATTTTCACAGACAGTGAAAGTTGTCAGGGAACCTGCAGTTGTTTTAAAGAGGTAATATTTACTTGCTCAGTACTCAAAGCCTCTCTTCTGTAGTCGTGCTGGTGAAGGAAGAACTGTGCACTATGGGGAGCTTTGTTTAACTTTCCAAATGTCTGAGCACTGCAAGGAATTATTTGTCCATAGCCACTCTTAAGAATAGGTACCTGAGATTGAATTCTGTTAATATGAAATTAAGGATCATATTTATAATGTTTTGAACAAATAAAATTAATCATATGCTAGTTAGGTTTTCCTTCCCCTTTGGGAGCCAGATAAATGCACTTCTGAAAATAATTATTTTTCAATTAAACAAAAAACCTGTAAAGTTGTTGAGAATGCCGGAGTAGTCTTATAATGAAGACCTTAGAGTGAGATGAGAGAGAACAGCCTTTAATTTTTTCTTCGGTGGACATGCTTTGTCCATCACATTGGTGCATTGGGCAATGATTAATGGGATGAAATTTAACAAGTCCAAGTGCTGGATTCTGCACCTGGGACGGAGTAACGCCAGACACAAGTATAAATTGGGAGAGGAGTGGCTGGAGAGCAGCCCTGCAGAAAGGGATCCGGGGGTGTTGGTCGACAGCAGGCTCAATAGGAGTCAGCAGTGTGCCCCGGCAGCCAAGAGGGCAAACCGCATCCTGGGGTGCATCAAACACAGCATAACCAGCCGGTCAAAAGAGGTGATTATCCCGCTGTATTCAGCGTTGGTGTGGCCTCACCTTGAGTACTGTGTGCAGTGCTGGGCCCCACAATTTAAGAAGGATGTGAAGGTCCTTGA